TATATGTGTGTGTGTGTCACGACACCGTGGAATCAGGCGCTCGTCAATTTTTGGACATGTGGAGTTATAGATACCACTTTAAAGCTATTTCATTTGTCTTGCTTTGGGTGAAAAAACGTACTTATCTATCATGAATAGAAGTCGAGATGTTTGCTATTGACGGAGGTTAGGGTCACCTGGCTTCAGGGGGAAAATTAGTGAGAAAATGGCCGCCAAAGTTCGGCGACTTCCAAATCTTGAGAGTCCTCAGACACAGCCAATTTACATTGTTGGGCCTTAAATCAACTTTTTCCAGTAAAGATCCACACAAAAATGGTTTTAATTGGACTTTAAAGGTGTTGAGTAAAAAAAATGTATTAATGAAAAAAATATAATGCCACTTTCTTCGATTTCATCATTTTGACGAGCGCCTGATTTTACCACGATGCCTCACAATATGTTACACCCAGACTGGAAAATCAGTCATTTCATGAAATGACAGTGGGGGTCAGTCTTTTCACCAAATGACTGTGGGGGTCAGTCTTTTCACCAAATGACTGTGGGGGTCAGTCTTTTCACCAAATGACAGTGGGGGTCAGTCTTTTCACCAAATGACTGTGGGGGTCAGTCTTTTCACGAAATGACGAAAATTCCTAGTCTTTTCTTGAAATGACTGAAATTAATGGCCAGTCATTAAATGACTGAATGTTTTCTATGTGGTTGGGGGTTGAATTAAAAAACCTTTTAAAATAAAATTTAAAATATGTAATTAACAATAATGATGAAACAGGATGAGCTATTTAAAATACTGGAAAAGCAAAGACATAGATGGAAAAGATCTAGGAATTACCAGAAATCTGTACTGTTGTAACAGAAAGTGAAAGTAAAGGATGATTGTTGAATATTAAAATTTTACTGAGATTATCTTAAAGCATATTCATTAGTCTTGCTTGTAATGGGGAAAAAAATACCCGTCTATCAAGAGTAGAAGTCGATATATTTTACTGCAATTGAAATATTGAAGAAGGTGGGGGTAGCCTGGTGTCAGAGGTAGAATTGGCTAAAAACAATTGATCACCAAAGTTAACTAACTTTCAAATCCTGAATGTCCTTGGAAATTGCAAGTTTTCGCTTCTTTATTGTGCCTTTGATCAACATATTTCAGTCAGACTCATTCAGAAATGTGTGTTTAAATACAGGTTTTGATACTTTAAAAAGGTAGATACAAATATTATAAAACCAAAAAACACTAACACATAAAAACTGCCCCAAGTGCAGAAAAAAATGTCGAGTATCCTTGATTTCATAATAATAATATGTATTTTGACAAGTTGAAGCAAATTGCAGACGACAACTTATGACGAATAAAAGAAAGCGACAGGTAAATTTCTTCGGACACACAATGCGGAAACAAGCATTGGAGAATATTGTAACAACAGGCAAATTTGAAGGAAAGAGAGGCAGAGGCAGACAGAAGGGAAAGATACTGGACAAGATGACAACATGGCTAGGAACAGCAAGAACAACAAACATAAATTGCTGCAACGCAAGACAGAGTGAAGTGGAGGTCCATGATCGCCCACGCCAGTCGGCAAGGCACCGGATGATGATGCTAATGATGATGATGATGATGATGATGATTTTGACGAGCGCCTGATTTCCCCCACGATGCCACACACACACACAATCACATCGTGGATGAACTCAAACAAGCGGTCGAATCTTCATTTCCGTGAAGGTGACAGAGTCGTAGTGTGTGGTGACACTCTTCCAGTTCATCCCCTCCCCGAAGGTTTTACTGCCCCACAAGCCGTTAAGGTTTACCTCATGGCATATGCTGTACCACCACCCTCCCTTGTATTGCTGGGCACAGTCCTGGATATCTGAATTGTTGTCGCGGTCTTTGGTTGAGAATGCCGCGCCGTTGTGAATCAACATGTCATTTACCACATTGCCCTGAAATCCGGATAACTGAATTTTGTAGTTATCAGTCTCTCCTTGCAGGAAAAACTTGCTGTAGCTGGCGAAGTAGTCGACTTCCTTGTACTTAAAATCGATCCTCAGTTCGAATCGAATCTGCGAATGAGAAAGTGAGGGAAATTAAAATAATTGTTTTGGCCTCCCCCCCC